GGTGGATTGTATGTGAAGTCAGTTTGGATGATTTCTTTCAGTAAAGTGGTATTCTGATGAGTAAAATGTTTAACTGTAGGCTTCATATTTGCAGCAAGAAGATCATACCAGAACTGCTTCTTGTCAATTTAAATGCAGTTATTAAACCAGCTGTAACAGTTTAGTCTTTTCCAAAAATTGATGTTTTCTCATGGGTAGGAGTATCTAACAGCTTTGTGAATCTGTTTTGTTTTGCCCCTCAATGCCACCTCATTTTTGCTCCCAGCCTCTCCATAAACCCCTTGGAGTTAACATGGTTTCTTCCTGTTAGTTTCAGGATTGCTGTGTATTGAGCTTTTTGTTTTTTTCTTTTTCCCCACCTTTTTCATAACTGTCTTTTACTGATTTTTTTTTTCTTTCTTAAAGTTGGATTTCTTTAAAAAAAAAAAACCACAACTAATGTGAGAATCACTTTCAGAAACAAAAATTAATGATCTATGCTTTGTCTGTAGGTATCCTTTTCCAGTCATTTAAGACTTTTGTTTAGCATGGATTTGCCAAGTGGCTTGTATTTAACTGTATGTTGTTTGTGGTAAAAGGGTTAAAAAATAATCTCTGTACTTCCAAGTGTGAAACTTTAAATTACCAAGCTATTACTCAACTGTTCTGTGACAATTACTATTTTTGGTAGTGGATTTAAAGCATTTAAAAGGTGTCAAACCTGTAAATAGCAAAATAGTCTGATGTAGTACAGAAGTTACCAGAAACAAGGTTCCTTCAACTTTTGTGGGCTGCCCCAAAAACCATCAGATGTTGGTGGTTGTAGATTAGTTGGCCTCCTCCAGCCACAGACTACTTCATCACTGTCCTGACGGGTCCTCGCAACATTATCTGTGTACATGAGAATCTGAAACGTGTCCCTGTCGAGAAGGAACTTGCGTCCTTGTATGTTACGGTAAGAATATGGTAACATGATGATAGTGTTTAAAAGGAAGTTGGTAAGTACCATACTTGGGTTATGTGTTGGGAAATGTTGGTGTATTTAAGCTAGGTAGTACACTTTCATCATGTTACTTGATTTATTTTTTTTTTTGTATATCATAGAAGTGTGGGAAGCTGTTGCGTAGTGTTTTCATATATCCGTAATAGAACAGTGCTGTAGTCATGTTTCAGCTGCTTGTTGTAAGAGGATTCTGGAACAAAAACATCTTTTTGGTGTTTGTTTTTTCTTTAACCTGTTTTTTGAACTGCTTCTTGAGTCTTTACTGGAGATGATCTTATGTTGATCTTCAAGTTGTTGAAACTGACTGACTTGTTACTACTTGGACCTTGACCTTTTTTTTGCTGTTCTGCTGTTTTGTTTCCTGTTGCAATCTTTCACCTTGGGGGTCATGGTGTTTTGTTGTCTTTGTGTGGCACATGCTCCACTTAATATTTGTTCGGTAACAAATTTCCTTTCTAAAAATGCTTGAGAATGGTCATCGTATTCTAGGCTAGAGCATACTGTGGCCCTTTTTTCAGAGATATTAAAACTTCAATTAATTTCCTTGACAATGTGTTAGTGTTTTATACACTGCTGCACTGTTTTTCTGTATGGACTTAAGCTTTTGCTGAGACATCATCACCAAAGTGTTTCTGTAGTTAAGCTAGAAGCCTTGAATATGTACAAGTAACTGGGCACTTTTTTGTGTAGTTCAGCCATTTTATTAATTGTACAGCAAACCAAAACATCTATGAAAGCTTCTTAGGAGGAGAGGGGGGTTCTGTTGTGAAAACGATGTGTTGTGCTGGGCATGATAACTGTATCCTTGAGAAATGAGTTGATGACAACAGTATGGATCCAGTTCTTGTATCTGGATTGTTCTTTGATGAGGTAACAGGATATGCAGAATGCGCTGAGCTAGTAAAGGTAAGCATGCCAGTGTTCCATCCAAATTCTTCCTCGGCGACCTCAGTAATTCCAAAATCTGTGATTCTACAAGCTTGAGAGAGGCAAGAGTACTGCAGTTCCGCTAACAAGGCTGAAGATGTGTTACCAGGAGGTACATGTGCCCGGAGCACATATGCATCCTATGTACATACATACATACATGGCTGGCCACGCAGACCAGAGACGGACATGTGAACATGAACAGCAGCAACAGCCTCCGGTTGAGAGCTCAGCCTCTCCCTCCCTGCTTGAGAAGAATTGAGGTCCGCTAATGAGAATATACCTGTACACAGGCAGACGTGGCAGGGTGTGTGCATGTGTAGTCTCGCTGTAGGCATACGCACACGTGCAGACACAGCTGCTATACCGAGACACATACACATGTCATGAGTGACATAGACACCAAATCTGACATACCTGTTACATACCTGTAGCATGTCACATGTTGAATCTGACATACGGGTCAAATCTGACATATCATAGGTCACATCACACACGTGTCGCGTCTCACATCATGTGTCTAACAGGTGGCAGGTCACGTGTCTCGGGGGTGGCGGGCCTTGTGCATACTGCATCATGCGTCACATGTCACATGCCTATTGTGTTGCATCACACATGTCGCGTGTCTTGTGTATTGTCACGTGTCACATGTTAGCCACATGTCATGTCAGATATTGTCATGCGTGTCACATGTCTCATGCCACATGTATGTTACATGTGTCATGTCACATTGAGTGTGGCATGTCAGATGTCACATCACATGTCATGTCACACAGGTGTCAGACCAAAAACCAAAAAAAGTGTATGTGTGTTGTGTTTATGAACTTGTTAGTGAGCTATGGCTTCTACCTTTCCTTATGAATGCATGGATAAGTATCTCTCTTACCATCGTTTCTTGATTGCTGAAGTACTTGACTCTTTCTGCCTTATCTGGACTTAGAAAAGGTCTTGGTTATTCCACGTGGGATGTCCAACTGCGTGGAATAACCCCAAGGTAGGTTTTACCAGATCTTCAGAGTTGAGGTTTCTCATGCTTAAGCAGACGATAAAGGAAGCCTCGTTTATTAACAGAACGGTGTTCAATGAAAACTGTTCCTGTACGTGCTTTCCGATTGCTGAGAGCTGGGGCAGCTGTGCAGCTAAACATGTGTGACCTGATACTGGAACACGTTCATGGGCAAAGCCACATGTTATGTGTGATGCTGTTACTTCGGCATGCAGCTTTTTGCTGTAGATCAGAGGCTTTAGATGGCAGTTGAATCAGAAGGTTATAATGTTTATTAAGTAACCCAGTGAAAAAAAACTCAATGACATAACAGATAATCTAAAACGACATCACTATTCCATTATGTAATATGTTTTTACAGCAGCTGTAAATCTATTAATTATGAGCCTTCAATCATATAAACTGTGTATGTTGACTGTTGAACTATCATTCTGTTTCCATTGCCTCGCTAATACTCAGCACTAGAGGGAAAGTCAGCCCCCTGCCTTGGGCCAGCTTCCCACACAAAGTCTTTCGGACACAGACCTGATGGGGAGTCCCGGAGGTGTTCAAAGGGATCTCTGGATTTGACTCTGCAGGTTAGTGTCACTGCTAGGCAATCTCAGACTGACTTGGTTTTATTGTTGTTGTCACTTAGGTATGGGTGGTCTTGCAAGATTAACACGCTAAAATTCCTCTACAGTTGGCAGTAGTAGTCAGAAGTCAGTAGTACTCATATCATTCTTTCATTCTTACATTCTTGTGGGTGTTTTTAAAACTGGTCTCTCTTTGACTTTATCTCATAGGCTCAGTGCTTCCTATTTCTTTAAATATTGTCTCACTTTGTTTAAAGGAGATTTTTTTTTTTCATTCTTTTTTCATGCTACTTTTAAGAATTTATCAAGTAAGAAGGAATCTGTGTAAAGAGAAGTATTATTCTATAAAGATTGATGAGGTAGAATTTTTATGAATGAAGTTCTTGCCTGTTTTCTCATCTTCTATGTCACACTGTATTTAGGTATTACTGTTACTATAGGCTGTAGTTTGGAAGGCATCTGATTTGAGAAGAGGGTGGAGCTGAACTGTTTGTGGCTGGGATGACTGACAGTATTTTGCTTTTCGGAGTCCTTGTGGGTGGGGACAGAGCACTACTTCACTGTGGGATGAGAAGATAAGTAGAGGAACAGATAGCAGCGCTGTAAGTATTTTCCTAGTTTTGGCAGAAAGCTATCGTTAGTGCCTGTTTTCTCTTCGTAGCATTCAAGAAACCTGCTGTTTTTTCCATTGTTAGTCTGTTTTTACATATAACGTGAAATACTCCATACCACACCCACCAGCAAAACACATCAAAGAGTAAACGATAGGCTGATAACTCTTGTAGTAGGCTTACTTTCATCAATTTAGAGCTAGCGTTGTTAGCACTGAGTGGTGGGGTTTGGACTGTAGAAGATGCTCCTCTTAGTTGTTTCTTTCTGCATAAAACTTACAATGCCACGTGACTGACTCCATCTTCCTTTGAAGTAAGCACGTTTCTGAGGTTCCACCACAACGTTTTTGTGAATACTTAAGGCAGTATGTGTTCACATGGATTTATGCGTTAATCATCAATTTATGTCAGATGTCACTGGAAAGAATTGGCTATGTAAGTGTTCTGGGACATTGGTACCTCAGTTACCTGCATAGTTATTGTTTCAGGTGCGTTACTGCTTTCATAATGTTCCCCTGTGTCTGAAGATTTTTGAAACTGCATGTTTTGCTTACACCAATGAGAAAAATGTATCCTGCAAAAAATACAGCAGAATGCCTGTGTAGCTAAGTAGGGCAGCTCAGAAAAAAAGGTTGGGGTTTTGTGTTTCTTTTTTTGGGGAAGCAACTTGGTAGTATTACTTCTATACCTTGTGCTGTATACCAGCATAAACTGGTATTTTATATTGCATTAAAAAGGTTATCTGCAGGTGTCTTGTTTTGAGTCTGGTACCTGTATGCTTGTATACTGGTAATTGCTTTTGGGGTTTTTCAATTGTATTTGTAAAAAAAGCAGAGTAGTAAATCAGCAGTGAAAAAGACAGTGTCATTTAACAAAGAAGACTCTAGACATGATTTTTGTATGTTACTGAAATTTATTAAATATAATCTACAAGTAACTTTTATTAGTTTTTTCAATAAATAGTTGTGTCTCCAAGTTTATTGACAAAGTGAGAATCAATTAGTTTTCCAAAGTACATTTTGAGCCCGTAGGGCTTACAGAAAGGATCAAATATGATCTTAGAACAGACTGTCTTACTACCCAGACTAAGAACATACAGTGGTCCCAAAGTGGACAGCAAGCTAGTAAGCCACAGGGCAAAATATATAAATTAATCTCAATTAAATATTTAAATAAATAACATAGCAGTAAAAATAAAAATGGTTCTCTGATTATTTTAGCATAGATTTCAGAAAGTTGCTCAGGTCTTGGTGGAATGCAGGAAACTTTTTCTTGTCATTAGCTTCACAGATCTTGCATCCAGTTCCTTGGGGAATTAGATCCTGCAATACAGATATTTTTGTTGATTGGTGATAGTTCTCTTGTCAGCTAGTTTTAGCAATAATACATCAACTTCTGTATGTTAAGTTTTTCTTTTAAGAAAAAAGAACCCCTAATATTTCAGAGGATTGGCTTTGGTAAGTTAAGGGATGATACGATGAAGAAGCTGCTTATAAAAGAGATTTTTGTGAGTGTAAAAATACTACGAGCTAAACACATTCACTTTCTATGATAAATACTGCAGCAGAGGCAAATCTTAATTTCTAGCCTGAAGAGGGTTTCTAAAATGATACGAGGATCTCTTCGCCATGGAATTTATACAGTGTATCAAGGTGTACTACATTCATTGTTGGGCCCTTTACAGTCATAAATTTATGGCGCAATTTTCAAAGCCATTGCTTGTGTAATAATTGTTATGCTCCTAAAAGCAAGTTTTTGTCAGCGTTACAGGCCTTGCATGATTCAATAAAGAAAAAAAAAGTAAAATATTTTAAAACGTTGACTTGTATAGCTGGTAGGGCTCAAATCTGTTTTACTGTATTGGATTATCCTGCAAATAGATGTTGTCATATAGTTTAATGCTATGATTTTTTTTATAAAGTCCAGTATTCTCAAGAGATGGTAACACATAGACCTCGAGGCATAAAAACACTGATTCTAGCATTGTTTTTCTCTAACACTGAAACACTTTTTTCCTGTTGTGTTTTTTTTTTTTTATTAAACTAGATGAAAGTTTGCCTACCATAAGACTCTGGAGATTCTTCTTGATATTTCGAAGATTATCAACATCCTCATCTTCAATTTCATTCTCCAAGGTGCCCATTTCAGTCAGGTAACAATCTAGAGTTTGCCAGCTGCACTCCTAGAACAGTCAGCAAAAGCATTAGATATATGTAACTTTTTTTCTCGAGGGCAATGGATTCAATTTTAAAAAAAATCTCAATTGCCCATTGTTTTTATCCTCATACAGGGAATTACGCTGTTGATTTTCTACAACGTGTGTTCATTTGTTCCCTTAAAGTTGTGTTGTAAGATGTTATATGTAGCCTTAGTTCTACGGTAGATTATTGTAGCTTCTGAAAAGTGAGTAATCTTTACAGGACGCTTGAAGTGTTGGCATATCTCTTGGGAACATGAAACTGTAGTATTTGCTTGTAAACTGAGACAACTCCCAGTTGTCAAGTGGAAATTGCATCTTAGCAAAAGGATTAGTAGTCAAAGCCTCTGTCAGTTTTACAGGGGCCTTTTTAGAGCCATCATCAGTTAATGCACTTAGGTTGCTCTATCTAATGTCTGCATCTGATCTGGCTTTGAATATGAGAAATAACTTCACACATCACTCTTACAAGCTATTTCAGGCACTCAGTGACAATATGTTATTAATCAGCCTCATGCATTTGTGTTTAAGCACTGGAGCTCTGAGATAGTTACATCTTGATGTTGCCAGCATATGAGAAAAATGACTCAGATAAGGAAGTGGTTGCAGAATCTGGCTTTAAATCTTTACTGAAAAAAAGTTACTGTTAAGCAAGAATTCTTCTGGATTAAAAACTTAATTGGAGGTTCAAAGTAGTTAACAAATAACTCGCGTAAAGATTGTAACTGCTTCCCAGTACTAAATAACTTGATGCTCGGGTTCGTTGATCTACTTGCACACCAAATTGAAAAGAAAAGTAGTGCAGATCAGCAGCCTGTCAGTGATGAATAGTCTGTGGTAAAGCTGTACTTAGAACACTGTCTGCACTTTGATGTGCAGTTTTTTAGAAAGAAGTGACCACAATGATACTATTCTTGTGGAACTAAGCCTTAGGTATTAACTGAATACCGTAAAACATGAATATATAGCTAATATATCCAGATCGGCATGGTAAAATATTGTTCCTGAAAAGAATTAGGTAGAGCCTAACTAAGTTTCATCATTGGTGGGATATAGAAGACTTAGTGTCTTAAACAGAACCTACTAGTGGCTCTGCATCTAGTTTAGATAAAATATGGGCAATTTCATACAGATACTGCTTTATTCTAGGTCTAGTTTCATTCTCAAAATTTTTCTTGTGTTAGTGTTAATACAACAGTATTGCCTTCTGCAAATCTTACAATGTTTTAATAATTCTTAGAACATTTTTTCCTGTGAATTCAACCATTTATTAAGCAGGATGAATAGGGAGGATTCATTTTATGTTACGTATTGCACAGAACAATGAGGTAATATTGTACATCAGACTGTTAATCTTTGAGAATACAAACCAAAACCAGAAATGTCTTTAAGAAACTGCACTCTCTGCACTGAATTCAGACTTTTCAGGTTTGTCTTCTGTATCTGCCCTTCTGATAAGTGAACTGTTTTGGTGTAACTCAATATCATCTCATTTTAAAGTAGCCATACCTTAGAAATCTTTCTGAAAACAGAAAATTTCAACTCACCTGTTTCTCATTTGCTGTGTAAAGGTCAAGATGAATCTTCTGTAGAGAAGGGGGAAAAAAGTTAATTTTTCTGAAAAAATGCATAGAAAAAAATAGAAAAGAATCTTGCAATAAAAGAAAATCAACTACTTACGTCCTTGCTTTTTTCCAGGAGTTTTAAATCTGATATTAAAGCTCTAAGAAGATGTGCTTTTGATAGAGATGCTCCATAAACTGCAGTCATAAGCATTACTGCTGAAATACAGCTGAAGATCAGTAGTTTGCACATCATGTCAGTGTTCTGATTATCTGTATGCTAGTATTTGAGTTGTGTTATATGATGCGAGCTGATAAGTTGTCATTAAGCTCTTTGGTGTATTTATACTCTTCTTTCTGGGGGGGAAAAAGATGGGGGCGTCATGTAAAAGAGGTTTTATTACACATTTTTTCATATGTTCTACCTGTATGGCAAGAATCATTACTTTTGTTTTTCCTCCCCTGATGACACTTTGGAATTTTTATAAAGCAAGAGGGATTTTACCTACATTCACTGGTGTAAGAGAAGCCCACACTCACTTCTGGCAGTCTCTCTTTGTGCTTTCTGCATGAAACACTTTTTCCCTCATGCGCTGTCCCACTCCCCCATAGAATATGCCATAGAATGTACTACTGCCACGCAAAAAGTTGTTCTAAAGATGTATAATTTAACCGTTTTGTTGATCTGTATATATTTATCCTTTCACAAATCCTGTGGCATTGTTTAAGTGAAGAAGAAAGAAGCGTTCTCATTTTAGTAATTGTTGATTAAACAACAGGAAGAAAGTTGGCTTCCTGTCTGAAGGTGGTTTTACCTGTCATCTTTTGCAAAGATAGTGTAAGCTTAGGTGTGTTAGTCAGTCTTTATACCATCAAATTTAAAATGTTTATGAAAAAAAATCTGGCAGGATTTTTTGGTTTTGGGATGTTACACCATGTTTTCTATTACTGTACATCTTAATGCTGTTCTTTTTGCCTTGTGTGCACCTTTTAGTTCTCTCCAGCTGATAATGAAAATGCACCACTTTTTAAAATATTTACAGATTTTCTTACTGATACCTAACCCACTGCATTTTGTGGTATGTATCACTGTACTGAAGTGGAGAGAAGGCAGTCATTTGACACTGAACTCTTGCATAATATTGCTGAATTGTTTTTTCTTTTCTGGTTCAGTGGTCTGTTGGCTGGTATCTTTGGAATGCTATGTGCAGTGTTTAAAATTCATAGTTTTCTTCATTTTGAGAGAGGTTCTGAGCCAAATACTGCCTCTGCTGCCCAGAAGTCTCTAACATGATGTGAAACGGTTCTTTTGCTCAGTGAATGTAGGTGCTGAAGCTGTGTGGAATAAATTCTGGGTTTGCACACTACTGTGGTTTGAAGTTTTGTAGCGTTCAGGATGAGCCAGACTGGGCGGATAACTACTTCACCCACCGTTGCATGTAAAACTACATGTGGAAATGTATTTTACATGTTCTGATCATGTAATCTGAGGAGGAGTGGATCTGTTCAAAGTTGGTTAGAGTATTCTTGTGCTTGGATTAAATTCAGTCCATTAATAAAATTCTTTTTATTAGTGTCTGTTTGTCCGCTGACCATTAAACTGGTGTTAATTAGCAGTGCGATCCCAGCTCCTGGGAAACTTGGTCTTCGTTTCCTGGTCTTGAAATAAGTACACGGATTTAATATGTATGGTCATACAGAAGTCCTAGTAGCTATTGTAGCGTGCAATATGTAGTAGATGTGCAGTTTGAAAACTTTTCTGCCACTATATCTTTTATGTCTTGTAGTTATTCTTGATAGTAACCAATTTCGAACAGGAGTTGTGACTGCAGAGGTGAGCTGCTGAACACTGGGTTGTCAGCTTTTCTCCAGGGTGCATATAAAGTTAGGTTATTTTATTCAAGGTTTTTAGTTGTTTGGTTTAAGTTAATGTGTTTTGACTGTGTAAAATACTAAGAAATACCTCAGCAGTGAGCACAAGACACGTTTTTGTTTGTAATTATAGCTTGCTGTTTGCAACACCATTCAGTCTTTCCTCTGTCAGCTCTGTAAAATTAGAGGTTTCTGTATCTAAAATATTCCATGGAAATACATTTGGAAGCACTGAAGTTGAGATTCTGAATCTGACGCCTTTCTGAAGTAGGTTTTAGCAATTTAGATAAGAGGTTGCTCCAAGCACTTCCTTTGTGCTGGAGTGTTGGGGTTTTTTTGCATCAGCACTTAAAATACAACAGCCAAGCACAGGATTATTACTTTATTTTCCCAGTGTTCTACTATTTTCTTTCACAACTCTTGCAGAAATTAAAAAGAAAGAAAGCCTGAGCATTCTGTCAAATTTTTCAGCAAGTTTGCAGGTAGATCTGCGAAAGAACTAACACGGTTAAGATGTATAGCTCCCATGCATCTTTGACCACTTTCCTCTTAAGTCCTTTATAGGCCATAGTGTACAACACTAGGATTTTAGTTGTAGTCTAGGTGTAATTGGAATCAGATCTTTATCTGTTTATTGTTTTCAAATACAATAAGAGGCTTGCATTTCAAGGAGGGGAGAGGAATCTGAATATGCAGTATTTAATAAATTGTGCACAGGAGTTTGAGTGATTAATTTTCCCGTAACATTTTGCTGCAGGCTTTGTGGTCAAGTGGGAGAAAGCAACGGATCTTGTTTTGACCATTTTTATTGGATGTGCCAGGTGAGAGGGAGATGGTTTTGAGTGTATTCATAAACCCAGAAACAGCACAAACTCCGTTAACGTTAACACACAATTTAATGTTTGCATTATACCTTAAGTTTTGGGAGTCTGTCCTGTTTAGAAGTTTTAATGTTCACTGCGCTAGCTAAGCTATTTCCCAAGTAGTTAGGTTGCTCTTACAGGCTGTTCTATCTTCACTGTGTACATGCAAGACAAACCAAATCTGACTGTAAGTAGTAGAAAGAAGTTTTATCTACAGGGACAAAAGCAGAACATTCCTGGTCATGGTACTAGTAAGACTGTAGGTTGGCTGTAAAGCGACTGTTGTGTCATTGATATACTGACATGATGGTATAAGCCCCCCAACCATCCCCAGTGGTACTATTGCGTTTGAATAGATTTGTGTCCAAAATGTCTTCATCTTTTTTTTTAAATTAGATTTTTCTTACTTGTGTATTTTTCACTTAAGTGCAGTCTGTCAGATTACAAGCGAGAAGTTCAGTGTATGCTCGTATACTGTCAGAGACGGATAGCTTTTTCAAATGACAATATACTGATGTGCTATAACTTTTAAATACAGTAATATTTCTCTCTATATGGTGTTGGACTTCTGCGCTGGTCAGATTTCAGTAATTATGCTCAATCTGAGCTCATATTTTTTACTGGGCAAGGAATTACTTGGGTTTTTATTCAGAGGTAGTGTGATTAAGATAGCTCTCCCAACTTTACCACAGAGCTGATTGCAGTTTAACAGGAAATGAAATTACTCCTTTAATTGGCCTTGGAATCATACAGGATAAAGTAGTGCTGCCAGTGCTGAACCCCCAAAATCCTGCCTTTAAAAAGCATCGAGGCAGGTACTGGTGATTGTGTCATACTGTGGGGTTTTTGGTTTGGGTTGGGTTTAATGCACAATTATGAAAGGTTAGTTGATTGATGTCTCATTTTCTTTCTAAATAAAATAGTATTACACTAAAACAACATTGTAAGAAAAATGCTGTAAAATGCACCATACCTGAAAAGCTTCAAGGAACACTTTAAAAGCCTAACCTAAATTTTCAAGGAAGATTAATTAGCAGTAAAGCATATATGTTAAAGGGAAACAATATTTGTGGATCAGGGAGCTGGGAAGGGAGAAGAATATTTGTGTCTTGCTTTGTTTTAGTGGATTGTTTATACTTTTGTGGTGCTTGTGTCTAATACAAAGAATAAGGGCTCATTTTCTTTTTTAGAAAATGCGTAAAAGTAAATGACACACACTGACTAAGCCCCTGATCTGTACAACTTCAAAGTCTGGAAAAGTTTTTACATAGGATCTGACTCTTCTCAGTTTAGGCTCTTATTTTTTTTGTGTCTTTCTGAACTGAAAGCTTGCATATTTTTTTTTTTCTTTTTTCCTTGCAAACCTGATGACTGGTGAATTTTGGAGAGAAGTTTTGGTTTCATTGAGGTATTAGGCATCTTGTGATCAAGGTGCTTGCCTCCTTTCCC